ATCGCAATTAGGTTAGAGGGCAGCGCTATTAGGTTGGAGGCCATCGCTCTTAGGTTGGAGGCCATCGCTATTCAGTTGGAGACCATCGCTATTTGGTTGGAGGCCATCGCTCTTAGGTTGGAGGCAACCACTATTAGGTTGGAGGCCATCGCTCTTAGGCTGGAGGCCATCGCTATTAGGTTGGAGGCCATCGCTCTAGGTTGGTTGGAGGCCACCGCTATTGGATTGGAGGCCATCGCAATTAGGTTGGAGGCCATCGATATTGGGTTGGAGGGCAATATGGCCTTTAAAAGATGTATCCTGCTAAGTGGGACCGAGATGCACCAACGCCTGCGGTCTTTCTTCACCGTCAACGACGCTAGAAGCTTTGTCTAGTTTGCTCCGGCTGCGTGTTGCAGCTCAGGCTACGGCTACTAGCAGCTTTGCTGCTGTGATGCTCGAAGCTCTTATCTCTCCAGAAATCTCAAGGGCAAACATGAGCAAACATTCAAGTAAGCACGGGCGAAAAATATACAGCATCAAAAGTTGCATCAACTACCCAGTGAAACAAAAACTATCAACACATATCAACACGGTTTTTGAGTGCCGAACTGGGCACTTCAGGCTCCTGGAATGCTTCAACTGAAACTTGGGTCAACCAAGTCTCTTTAAAATCATTCGGTTCTGTCATGGTCAGACTCATCTGGTTCATGGTGAGGGTGATCCACACTCAGAAGGAGAATCTGGAACTCCTCCATTTTCAGAAGCTGCTGTTCACCCTCAGCTTCAGGAGGAGTCCCGTGACAATGCGATTCAAAATTCTGCCTTCGAGAGTTCCTGTCTTCATGTATTGGCCTCACGAATGTTAATATCAGCCGGGTTGCCAGCTGCACTATCGGAGCAGGCCAGTTGCCCATCTGAAGACTTTTCACCGTCTGAGCGAGATGCAAAAGAAACAACAAACCCAGAAAACGACGCAAACAACGCCATCGACGGGTAAGAAGGCGCTGCACTGAGCGAAGCACCTTCTCCAAGACCTGACATGTCTGCAAGAGCTTTCGTCTCAGCGCATCCTTGTCCTCAATGGCTCCCAACTGCCACTTGGCTTCATCTTCATGAAAACCATAGACCTCAAAAGTTGCAACAAAACCAACAAGCAACATTTACCTGCGACATTGATGTCACTATGCGCTGAGCCATGGACTATTGCCCAGACTTGGTAGAATGGGTTGAGAGTCATCGAGAAATGATGAATTTGGGAGTAGTCCGTAGTCTTCCTCTCGAGCACAACCTCCTTCTTGTTGATTTTCTGTGCATCCTGCAATCAAGGATGATTGCATCATTTTGCATGATATATGTATATATATATATACTGTCTTTGATTGAGTGACACTGCGGAAAGTCGAGGGAGAGTTTCACTGACCAAATTCCTAAGGGGTGCCAGTGTCTGCCTTTGACTGGCACCCGGCATCCATAATTGTCCAACCCTTTCGTGTGACCTTTTGATACAAAAGCTTAAGGGCGACAATGAACACAAATGCAATGACAAGTCCAGAGGCCGCAAATGTTCATTCATACAGCAGAAACCCGGAAAACAGGTCAAAAGAGTTCAACTGTCAACAGCAACTAAAAACAAGCGACAGGTTCATTACCTGAATAAACAACGACTGCTCAGACTCAACATAACAACTTATGATCGATAGTAACCAGCAACATCGGTAAATCTTCTGTGTGGGTGTTGAAGTAAAGGTTAGCGGTTGGCCTTGTGGGTGCCTGCCTCATGTTATGCAAGTCCATCCGCTCACCAAAACCCAAGAGATGCGATCCTACACATCGGAGCAATTTTTCATCGGACAAAGCACACCATATGCTGATTCCAGAACCGTGACATTATATATGATTCTGTGATAATACCTAGAACGTTAAGTGTTAACCATCGTAACGATAGAAATTTTGAAGCAGTCAAATGTGCAGCTATGGTCCTCCAGTTCGACAGGCCCTAAAGACCGACGGCGCGGATCAACTGTTGAGGACTATTTCCGCATTGATCCATTTAGCCGTTTTGGGGGCGAGGCAAATCGGTGCGGATCGGTGAACCGCTGAACGTCCGGCCTCTTGAGCCAGCTCAATCCTCTCCCACAGGCTCTCGACAGCATCCCGGGCCATTGACAAGGAGGAGATGTCCCAGTAGGCGGGCTGCGTGCGGAAGAGCTTCAAAGTATCTTCGATCTCCTTCAAACGCTCCTGCAATTCATCTTGTTCGCTCAGGAGCTCGCGCACGAACTCCGCCCTGAAGGCAATGAGAAAATTAGCACATGAAAAAGAACGAATTCACGTGACTTCGATTCTTGAGAAATAACAAGAACAAGTCCTTAATTACCGTAGTTGAGCCAAGGATCTCGTACTCTTGCATTGCAGCCGCCTTCCTCAAGGAACACGGTTCTCGCGGTATTTCAAATCACCCCCATCACCACCAGTAAAAAAGAGAATCGAAGGAAGTGGACATGCCAAAGCACTGTGCCAAATGGGCCCGTGCTTGGTGGGGAGCAGCGACCAATTCCCAGCGCATGCGGAAGTCTTCAGGTGACAGGTGGTGACAAAAGCCTCAGCTTTGCGATCTTGTCTAGGTATGCGAACAGAATGGCTTGCAAACAGCCACAAGCGAGCTCTCGCGTGCTTCCATAAAGCCAACCGTCAACAAATCGAAGTGGCATAAATGCTATAAGTGAACCATATATATTCATATATAGTGTGTGTGTGTGTGTGTCAACCCCCGTTCCAAGGGACACTAACCTACTTTACTCTATTTGTACAGATGCAGGGGGCCAGCGGCCGACAAGCAAACGCTGGCTAACAAAGCTATGCTTGATCGTTGGATGCACAGTCTGATCAACTGTGTGTACCTGCATTTTAATCCATCTTTGTGAACATAACTGGACGTTATTCGGCTAACTCAGTAAGCTAAAGGGCCAATGTTCACTGCGAATTCACTCTTTGTGAACCTAAGTGTTGCATAACGCTGTCTCCTGCGTTGTTTTCCTGCACGTAATTCGGCAAATGCAATAAGGTAAAGGGCGAATGTTCACTGCGAATTTCTGAAACTACGCTCTACGGAGCACTCTTCTCAAGTGTGATTCGCAGCTTCTTCCCACTGTGGTGAGCTGTGTGAACCCTGCGGGGCGCCGTTACTGAGTTGAACTTCTTCTCTTGTGTTGTTTTCTTGTGGGCTTCCACTAGGAAATGCCCACTTTGAAAAAATGCAAAAACAATCCAAAATAAAAGCAACCCAAAAATGAAAAAAAAAAGGCTAGGTTGACGCAATCCAAAAAAAACACACCAAAGTGCAAAAAAAATGGCTAGATTGATCCACTGCCACAACAAAGGAAGCGCGGACTCCTTCGCGCTCTCTTTCTCTCTCTTTCTTTCTCTGTCTTTGTTTCTTGATGTTTCTTATCTTTTCGATTTGTCCGCTGGTAAAGGTCAATGGAGACAGCCGTTGGAATACGAAGGCCCGAAAGGACAACTGTTTGCATGCCCTTGATTTGGTAGCTGGGCCGGTAGGCAGCTGGGCAGGTTGCGCTGCGGGGGCGGGGACGGGGCAGGTGGGGAAGGGCTTGGGTGGGTGCGGAGCGGGGGCGGGGTTAGGGTGGCGCGGGGACGCGGCTGGCGAGGGGGGGGGGGGGGGGG